TCAATTGTTTATTTTGTCACCAATTTATATACCGTCATATTGCATATGAACTACATGGCATTAAGGTATTTTAAACAGTACAAATATCTGTACAACTAAGTAAACTATTGCTAAACTAAGTAAGAAAGTGCTACAAAAATACAGTTTACTTGACTTCTTAAAATTGCTGATTGTACTTTTACCTGCCCTGTTTATAATTCTGCATACGTCATTTGTATTTCTCCAAATATTTTGCCAACAGTGGAAACTAATACATACATACATACATATCTGATATACACTCTGACCACTAGGACACTAACCATGCATTCATGAAGAACTTGGAAACATTCACCCACCCCCAGCTGTCATATGTCAATTGCCACAGAGCGAGAAAAACAATCTGGGGGCCAGAGGTCTAGAGCCTGAGTGTCCAGTCAAAACAGGAACAGATCTACCCCGTCTTACAGCATCAAAGACCTCTTAGCACCAGTGATACGCATGTAAGATGAGCGGGACAACCATCAAACTACAATCTACAATTCCTATTCAATTACACTTTTCCAATTCTTGTTTTACCAGTGCCGTGCTTTTATATACCTAGCGATCCAGCCACTGACAATACCATATCATGCAATTATCCATGTTGCCTGGGCAATTATAACAATAGTATTAACATGATAATCAATTTAAAGGGATAGTTCACCCCAAAAAAATGAAAATTCTGTCATCGTTTACTCGCCCTCAAGTTGTTCCAAATCTGTATGGGTTTCTTCCTTCTGTTAACCACAAAAGAAGATATTTTGAAGGAAGTTGGTAACCAAACGGTTGATGGTAGCCACTGACTGCCAAAAAATAAGCTATGGAAGTCAATGGCTAACTGTCAACTGTTTGGTTGCCAAAATTATTTAAAATATTTCCTTTTGTGTTCAACAGAAGAAAGAAACTCGGTCCCACTTTATATTAGGTGGCCTTAATTACTATGTAATTACATTTAAATTAACCATTTGCTACAAAGCACTTATTGTGTAAATACATGTTTTTACATGGTACTTATATTTTAAAAAATACCTGCATGT